GGTCACTCTGAATCTTGTCATCACATTGAACCATCCACTCCTGAAATCTTAAACTCGAATGCTACAATTTCCTATTAGTCCAGCTTTTAATCCCACTACATATCTTGACTATCACCAAGGCATCCCAAACCTCAGCTGTGTGTGTATGTTCCCAATCTGCCCTCTTCTGTCTTCACCTTCTTCCCTTTTCTGTCTCAACTCCCTGGTCCAACAGCTCAATCACTCTCATGCATCCTTGTCCAACCCTGGAGAAACTGCCTGTCCTTGCATATTAGTAACATCACATATCCATGCTCTCTAATCCCATCTGGGCCTTCAAAACTTCTGTCTTTAATCACCTCCTATTCCCATTTCCATCAGGAGCTATTTCAAAATTTATACTGTCTCCTCAAATATAATATTTTATCCAACAACACACATCCTTTTTGCTTGTAAGGAGAGGTATCTCTTTTCCTATAGAAAGCAAATTCCTGTTATTTTAACTCTGATTCCTAGTCTTATTTTGCTACCTCTCCTCTGTACGCTCACAGAACCCTATGTATACTATAATAGGATTTATCACACTATACTTTTCTCCCTTACTACATTTAAAGATCTTCCAGGTTAAGTCTCTTACTAGGTAGCTTACCTCAGCAAAGTTACTTAACTTTTTCATGCCTCAGTTGTCTCTTCTCTAAAATGGGAATGATATAATTTACCGTAAATCCTGGCTCTAGTCATGTGACCCTGGGTAATTATTTGACTTCTCTGTGCCTTGAGACTCCTCATCTCTAAAATAGGGATAAAAATGGGGTGCCTGGGTGGCTCAGTCATTTAAGGGTCTGCCTTCACTCAGGTCATGATCCCAGGGTCCTGGGGTCGGGCACCACATCGGGTTCCCTGCTGAGCAGAGAGCCTGGCTCCCCTCTCCCAGCTGTTCCCCTTGCTTGTGCTCTCTTTCTGTCAAATAAATAAATAAAATCTTTAAAAAATAAAATAAAATAAGGATAGAAATGTATACCTCGTAAGGTTGTCAAGAGGTTTAAATGGGTTAAAACTACATTTTATCAGGTATGTATTTTATACTTACAGCACATTCCAGTTTGGCCCAGCCACATTTCCATTGTTCACTAGTCACATGAGATTAATGGCTACCATACTGGACAGCACAAGTACAGAAAATAGGTGCTCAATAAATATTTTTTAAAAAGTAAGCTCTACTTACTTCAAGCCCCTAATATGGGGCTTGAACCCATGACCCCAAGATCAAGAGTCTCATGTTCTACTGACTGAGCCAGCCAGGAGAACCTCAATAAATATTTTTTTAAGGAATACTGATGTCAGAATACAAAGAACTTTCAGAACCCCAGGACCAGAAAAAAAAATACTTTACATAGTCTAACATTTTTTTTTACATTTTAACATCTCTGAAAACAGGAATAATCTTATAATTGATGTCATCTAACAGTTTTAATGACAGTATTATTTTGTAGTGGTTCATAAGATAAAGATGCATCTTACCATGATGGCATCTTAGAGTTGATAAAATAACTGTGTATATAAAGCACCTAGTACCTGGCATATAGGCCTCACATAAATTAACTATTATGTCTTATTCATATTTGTATTCCCAATACTAAATTCAATGTCTGGCATAGTATATAGTTAATAAATGTTCATTAAGTGAACTTCTACAGGACGGCTTGTCACCTTTGTACATCTAAATCCAAATATATTATATGCCTTCCAAAACTACCTTCTTCTCACAAACTTCCTTTTATGGTCAAAGATACCATCATTCTGAGCCATGCTGACTTAAAAACCTCAGATCTTTATCTCCTGACCCTTCCCTTAATCCAGTTTAGGGATCAGATCCTGTCAATTCTTCCTTTATAATTTCCCCCCCAATTTGCCCTTTCAATTTTTCACTCCCACTGCCACCTCCTTAGACTAGGACAGTAATTCTCAAACTTTTTGGTATCAGGACTCTTCACATTCTTAAAATTAGAGGATCCCACAGAGCTTTTGTTTATCTGGATTATATCTATTGATATTCACCATATTAGAAATAAAAACTGAGAAACTTAAAAATGTTTATTAATCCATTAAAAAAATAATAAACCCATTACATGCTAACATGACAGATTTTATGAAAAACAACTATATTTTCCAAAAAAAAGACTAGTGACATAGTTTTACACTTCTAAATTCTATTTAATGTTTTTGACTTAATAGAATACAACTGGATTCTCTGCTTCAGCACTAAACCTGTTATGTTCTTTTAATTGAAGTACATGAAGAAAATCCAGCCTCACATAGATATATGTAGTTGGAAAAGAAAGCACTATTTTAGTAGCCTTTTCAGAAAACTGTATATTAGTCTTGATAAATGGTAGTCTCTTAAGAGTTAGCTGCAATGTGGAATTTGAAACCTTACCAATGAACTCTCTTTGTACTGTTCCATTACAATTCATTGCTATATAAAATTCAAGTCTATTGAAAAAATGTTAAATACATACATATAAACATAAAATTCATTGATATATCTTGCATTTTGAATGGATCTTTTAGCCATGCATAATTTTACAACATCATACTTGGTCATCTGGAAAAGACTGGTTCACTGAGTTATACCAACCTTCCAAATATTGACAAATTTCATTATACAATATCTAAAAATCACATTCATTAATACTGTTACCAATCTCATCAGAAAAGTTTAAGTATTGGGAAGCTGTCAAGTTCACAGTGCTAGATACAAATTTTCCAAACTCATAATTTTCACTTGAAAGCTCAAATCCTATCATTGGCAACAAATACTGTGAGTTGTTTTCTTTGAAATGACAGGCTGGCTTTTCGTTTTTGAAAAAACATCTGCCAAATACCCATTCTGGATAACCATAGTTTATATGTCAGTCATTCTTTCAAGTAAAAATGGTATTCCATGAAGAAAGCAGCTAGTTTAGCCCACAACTCAATGTCGCAAGTGCTTTTCCTAAGGACAACTGCAGTTCAGTATACAGAAGGGATTTATTTGTACTTCCCACTTCATCACAAAGACTATTAAAGACATGTCTCAAAGGCTGAAATTTAATAAAATTAATGAATTAATTTTTACTGCTTCATTTGGGACATTGAGAGAAACGAGCATTTTTTTTTTTTTTTTTTTACTATAGTGAAGAATAAAATGACCATTAATAGTTTGGCCCCACTACCCTGATTCTTGCTAAGGCACGAGCAGTTTTAGTCACCATTACTTCAGCACCATCAGTGCAAATGTCAACTCAGTGAAAATACCAGATAACAGCTTGATATTGCTATGAAAATAATTTTGACCTCTCGGAACTCCTGGATCAGGGAGCCTCAAGGGGCCCACAGATCAAATTTGAGAATTGCTAGTCTAGGACTTCATCATGTTATACCTGGATTATCATGTTAGTCTCCTAACTAGTTTTCCCAACAGTAGTCTCTCTCCTTATTCATATTGCTTGGCATTACTAAACACAACTTCCTGTAATTCCGCTTTCAACAGGTTCTGCCCAAAAATTATTAGTGATTTCCCGCCTACTGGATAGAGGATAAAATTCAAATTGCTTAGCATCACCTTCAAAGACCTCTACAATTTTTCCTCATCCAACTTTTTCAGCCTTACCTTCCACCACTCCCTGACACAGCTGTAATTAAGTCAGTCTGATCTATTTAAGGTCTCTGGAAACAAAATTTACACAGCTCACAACTTTGCATGAAATGTTCCTGTCATATGAAATATTATTTCCTTTTATCAAATCTCAAATCCTATTCCACCTTCAAGGCCTAGCTTGATGCCCAAATTATTTATGATGCTTTTTTTAATCACTGGTTTACAGTGCTCTCTTCCTTCCTGGAAATATCACAATTATTATCCTCACATTATCATATACTGTCTTTGATAATTTAACTCCTGAGTTGTTTATTTAACTTTACATGCTTTCCTTAATCCCCCAACTGGATTATAAATCCCCGAAATACAGAAACTCTCTGCTAAATTTTTTTTTTTTTAAAGATTTTATTTATTTGACAGAGAGAGACACAGCGAGAGAGGGAACATAAGCAGGGGGAGCGGGAGAGGGAGAAGCAGGCTTCCCGCCAAGCAGGGAGCCCGATGCGGGGCTCGATCCCAGGACCCTGAGATCATGACCTGAGCCGAAGGCAGACGCTTAACCAACTGAGCCACGCAGGCGCCCCAATTTTTTTTTTTTTAATACACTCCACACCCGGTGTGGAGCCCAACGTGGGGCTTGAACTCACAACCCTGAGTTCAAGAGTTAAGAGTTAAGACATTTAACCAACTAAGCTACCCAGGCGCCCCAAAACTTTGAGTCTTCTACAGTGCCTAGTACAATGTAACAAAGAGTGAAAACATCAATTTTTAAAAATGAAATCAATGAATGAATTCCCTTTCCAAAGGTAAGAGGAATTGGGTTTAGATGAATGATTCACAGGGACTATGAACTACTGATGGTCCTTGAAAGTCTTCTGGGTGGACAGTAGATTGATTTCTTAGAGTTATTAATGTTTTCAATGGGAATAATTATGCTATTTAATCAAAATCAGTCCACTGGCATCTCATCAAAAGCAATCCTCTCTTTCTCATTAGTTCTGATGAGGTTTTTGCAGTGTTAATCAAGAAAATGTAGAATAAGTGACCCACAGGACCCTGCTGAAGTGGTTTTAAAGGGAAAAGATAGCAATCACTGCTTTAAATTAGCAGAGACTCCAATGTGGAGTCAATTCTATCTATAACATTTTTATTTCCTTAAAAGAAGATATAAATCAAATATGGTAAAAATGCTGTATTTGTTAATGTGAAAGATAAGTGCAAGGGTGTTTGTTATGTTATGCTTTCTACTTTTCTATACGCTTGATGTATTTTAAAATAAGGAAAAACACATTGTGTGGCTCTGTGAAGCACACCTGGTGCGTCAACATACAAGAGAGCGTATCATTTGATTGATGCATGACGTTGTCCAATTTTTACTTACCAGTGCGTCATCTTGCAATGAAGCAAAAAAGAAGCCATAGAGCAAGTTAATTTGATCCTTGTGATCAATGAAGTCAAACATTGCAACCAGCCAACGATAAAAAAGTACCTATTGCGAGACAAAATGCTTATCTTCAGAGAAATATAACTGGCACAGGAGAGAGCTTAATTCCCCACTCAGGGCTGTTTTAGAAGCTTCTAGCACAAAGTAGGATAATAGATTTTATTTCTCAGTAAAAATTTCTGCTTGAGCAAAGTCCATGCATCAAGCTATATTGTTCCAAAACTACAGGCTTTGCACAAAAGGCCACTGCTATTACTCCGTAAGTGGCTCTTCCTTGGCAGCCCTTAAGTGGTTCTGAAGGACTTATCATCAAACTGTTTAAAAAGATTACCTTGGTGCTACCAGAACACTTGCCAACACAAAGCCAGGAGACCGCCTTAACCACAGAATCTTCTGGTATTAGAGTTGTTGGAATCATACACTTCAATATCCGAGTGTTTACAGCACTCCCTAGAAAGCAGACGAACTCCAAATTAAACTACATTTTAGAATCTTGATTGTTCCTTTACTATTATTCACTCTTAGTCCTAAAAATTTCACTTTATACTGAAGGCAATAAAAAAGTAATATTTGATATATCCCTTATCATCATTACAAAACATAGTTTCAAACAAAAATGTAACTTTAAGTTCTAATATAACTATAAAGCAAATTCTCTGGCTCTGTATTTCTATTTAAAAAGGAAGGATGCCTACAGGGTTTCTTTTTGGGGTGATGAAAATATTTGGGAATTAGAGAATGGTGATGGTTGTACAACTCTGAATATGCTAAAAAAAAAAAATCCTGAACTGCATGCTTCAAGAGTGAATTTGGGGCATCTGGGTGGCTCCGTCGATTAAGCGTTTGCCTTCACCTCAGGTCATGAGCCCAGGGTCCTGGGATCGAGCCCCATGTTGGGCTCCCTGCTCAGTGGGGAGCCTGCTTCTTCCTCTCCCTCTGCCCCTCCCCCTCCTGCTCATACTCTCTCTTGCTCGCTCTCTCTCAAATAAGTACAATCTTCAAAAATAAATAAATAAAAATAAAAGAGTGAATTCTATGGTATATGAATATACTTCAAAAAAGTCTTAGGAAAATTTCAGAGATTTTTTTTTAAAGATTTATTTACTTATTTGAGAGAGAGAGAGCAAGCGCCTGAGCAGGGCAGGGGCAGAGGGAGAGGGAGAGAAATCCTCAAGCTGACTCCCTGCTGAGCGCAGAGCCTGACAGGGGGCTCAATCCCAAGATCCTGAGATCATGACCTAAGCCAAAACCAAGAGTTGGACGCTTAACAGACTGAGCCACCCAGGCACCCCAAGATTATTTTTTATTTTGTTATTATTTTTTAATAGCACAACAGATTCTGACTTATTTAAAACTATTGATAGACATCTTGCATGAGCTGCTTCATTTAAGAATAAATAAATTAAATAAATATATTTGTGTTCTCCATCCCTCCCAAAAAGTGGGGAAGATAGCAGAATGGAATAGCTGTTCTTGGAATTAGCTAGCAGTAATATTCTATACTGGTCCAATCTTTCCATCATACGTTCTGGGCTCCCATGGTATTCTCCCATCTGGTAATATAAGTGACGTTGCAAATACCTTTGCATACACCCTATATCAATTTCTGCTTATTAAGGCTTCAAGAATTAAATGTATATCTCATCAATTTTGGGGGTATGTAAACATTGTTTCACTTGCATTATAATGTGGTGATCACAACCACTCACTGAAAAAACACTGTTCTTAACTTCTCATGCAAATAGAATTCTCAAAAACATCTTGGATCCATGTGTCTTTAACCACTGTTTTACATGCATTACAGTGTGCTGATCACATCCATTCACTATAATCATACTGTTCTCAACTTCTGCAAGTAGCATTCTTAGAAACATCTTATATGTGTCTTTAAACACTGTTTTATATGTATTATAGCATGATGATCACATCCATTCACTGAAATATCACTGATCTTAACTTTGCCTGCAAGTAGCATTCTCAGAAACATCTTATAGACATCTTTTTTTCTTTTCCTGAGGGTGAAGACCTCTCTTTATTTTTTTATTTTTAAAATAAAAAGTGTGTAGGGATGCCTGGGTAGCTCAGTAGGATAAGCGTTTGCCTTCGGCTCAGGTCATAAACCTAGGACTGCCTGCTGCTCCCCCTGCTTGTGCATGCTCGCGCTCTCTCTGACCATAAAATCTTAAAAAAAAAAAAAAGTGTGTATATTTCAGATGTATATGATGATATGATATTCAAATACATAGTGGAAATGATTACTATAGCCACGCTAATTTACATATTATCTCATGTTGTTATCATTTTTTGTGTGTGGTGAGGGCACCTGAAATCTACTCTTACCGAATTTCTAGTATTCAATATTATTAACTATAATCATCATGCTGTATATTAGATCTCTGAATTTATTCATGCTACATAAATTCTCAATTTCTACCCCATCATTCTGTGGAGAAGGAAGCAGTGAGGGCAGGTGATGAATCATAAGAATAAAAATTTCTGTATTCCACTATGGTTTCTTGTTTTCATTTTCTTTTCTCCCCCACTCCCATCCCCTAACCCTTCTAAAGTTTAAAACAGTCTGACCACTAACACTTCACACATGTCCCAAATTCAAAGGGTCAATTCAGTACAGACTCAATACTTACTTCCCAGCAACTTTTTAATTTCTAAAGTGTCTGAAGTCCTTTTATACTTAATTATGACACTGCAAGCACACCTGCCCCTGAATATGAATTTCAACTTAGCAAAAGAGCTACAGGTAAAGATACAGTAGTGATGGAGGATATCACAAAAATAACTAAAAGGAGACAAACAATTAAGGAGGCCATATTTGACATCACCAATTCCAGCTTAAGGGAAAAATTAAAAGTTAGAATAGAAAGCCAGAGATTGTGTTTAAAATTGTTATATACAAGTTTCCAAGGCTGAGGTATGCATTTGCCACAAGACCTGGCAAACATCATGAAAACCTTTTAACCATTAATTTCTGAGATATCAAAAAAGAGAAATTCCAAAATAGAAAACACCTGTACATCCCATACATGTTTTAAGAGGAGAAGGGAGAGAGAGAGAATTCTCAATAGACACTGATCAGTTAAACATGGGTTCCTGGAAAGATATCAGAACCAAACAATATGAAACCACTTAAAAGAAGAAGAGCCAATTTTATCAGGTCAAATTTCGCTTCATAGGAAAACACAGAGAACTAATCAAGTAAAAGTAGAGAACTAAAATACCTGAGAGTCATATTTTGAATTTGGCTAGTAATGTGTTGTTGCTTTAAAACAACACTCCTGCAAAACATGATGCTAGGGCATACACAAAGGAATCCAATATGCAAGGGCCAGGAAATAGTATATAAAGCATCCAGTTTTGATAGATGTCTTAGTATTTCAAAAAAAAAAAAACAAAACCAGTAGAAAACCCAGTAGTAGTATGGTACAGTATAAACACTACAAGGGGAGTTAGGAGATCTGAGTTCCCCAGTTCTAGCTCTGACATTAAATAAGTTTCTTTAACCACTCTGGGTCTCAGTTTCCTCGCCTTTAAAATGAGGATGTTCAAGGCCTAAAATACCTTCTGAGTCTGAATTTGGGTGAGAGTAGGTTAAAAGATTCTTCTCAAGCAAAAAGAATACTGGCCAAAAAAAAAGAAAAAAAAGAATACTGGCCAGGTGTTCCTTCCTTCTAAGAACCTCTCCCCCTCCATTTGAAATGCACTTAGAACAGGAAAGGAAGCATTATCACAAAAGAAAAAGCCTCTTGACTGTCATACACACTGGAATGGAGACAGTTTCAAAAGGAATTTGCCATAGGTAAGTAAACCTAAAAGCAATGAAGTAGACTAAATGATCTCTTAAGCTGCCTTATCTATGCTTCTTAAGAGAAATACTAAAAATGACTCCCATGTATTTGGTGACAAGAGCCTATACATTCTATTTGTAAAGACATGTAATAACTAACCATTCTCAGCATATGTACATAGAAACTTTTGGTTCATAAGGCAGCTTAAACATAAGAAAGGCCCATTTTATCATCTTACCAGATTGGTTTTATGAAGAATTTGGTACAAATAAAGAACTGCAACTGATTCCAATAAGCAATCTATTTCAAAGTCTGGAAGGCAAAACTAATAGCAAACTGATGACAAATGTTTCCCCTCAACATACCAAATTTGCCACTGAGTGCCACATTTAAGAGAATGTCAATTCCTTCTGGAGCTAACCCATTCTTCCAAGCCACATTTTCCACAGTTTTCAAGTGTTTTTCCAAGATTTTATCTTTACTCTGTGAAGTTTTAATAGGACCTGGAAAAACGAACAATATTAAATAGTGGGACCTTTAAAATCCTTTAAGTCCGCAAACACAACAGTCACAAATAGGAATAAGTGAAAAAAATACCGCTTTTTTTTTTTTTTTTTTTAAAAAGGCTCCACGCCCACCATGGAGCTTGAACTCACAACCCTGAGATCAAGACCTGTGCTGAGATCGAGAGCCAGATGCTTAACCAACTGAGCCCAGGTGCTCCTAAACAAATAGCTCTATGTTAAAAATGTCTTCCCCCAAACCTTTCAAAGCCTTTAAAATTCTAGAATATTTAACAGCAATAGAGCAACAGCACCTTCAGTGAGGAAAACTGAATCATGCCCTGGCATCTCTGCTCTAAACTAACTAAAAGCACTGAACTTAGACTATAAGCAGATTCAATACTAGGATAGTAGTTCCCAAACTCTTCTGCAAATCGGAATCACCCAGAGGAGCCTTTTAAAAATCCTGATGCCCAGACTGCATTCCATGCCAATAAAATCAGAATGTCTTAGAGTGGATGCCAGGCATCAGGTTTTTTAAAGATTCACAGATAACCCCAATGTGTAACAGCTTGGAAACCACCCTGCCAAGAATTTTCTTTGTTGTTGTATCCCTAGTACCCAGCATACTGATATTAGGAAGTGCTCAATAAATGCCTATCAAATAAACAAAAGCATGAATGAGCAAAAATATGCTTTCCTTTAAAAATCCATAATAAAAAGTCTAAGACATTTTTACAGAAATAGAACTTTCGTAAGGAAAATTATCTGTCTTACCTTTCTCAAAGTATCTCACTGCTATTTGCAGAGCATCTTCTCCTTGATCATCAGCATGTCCATAATCGTCCGCTGTATTGTCTTGTCCATGTTTCAAGCTGCGCTTTGAGTCATTCAGGTCCTCTTTTTCTTCCCCGGCCAGGAGATTAGTCTCATAAGTATCACTAACTTGTGAAGTCCTCTTTTGAGCCTGAGAGTCCTTCATTCTCTTTTGAGATGACATTATTACACATGTTCTATACAGAAACAAGTGTCCAGTTACCATTAAACAAACCATCCCTTTTTACTCCACAAAGACAGGAACCATATCTGCTTTGTATTCCCAACATTTAGTACACAATACCTAGCATACAAACAGTACACACACACACACACACACACAAATCCTGACAATGATTCAGGCAACAAAAAGGTTAACTTTCACAGAAGTCCTTGACTTAAACAGGAATAGGGATAAACAACTCTCCAGGGTAATATTTACCAGTTGAACTGGACTTCTTGTGGAAAAAAAACTGAGTACAAGCAACATAGCAAGTTCTCTTAAAATGGCTCTATCACATAATCAAATCCAAAACTAATCCATGTCCTACATTCAGTCTTACTTTTTCCACTATTTTTCTCCACCCCCCCACCTTGATTTTGCTTTTAATCTTTTATGCTCTCCACTTCCTGAGTGCTAAGTTAAAGCGGCATGGTTCAAAAGTCAAACTGGTGACCAAACTAAGGATTCTCACAAAGAATTGTCCCCTATTAAGTAATTCATTTATTCAGTAAATAATTGTTGAACATCATCTATATGCAAAGCACAGTTCTACTTACTAGGGATAAAATAAAACAGCCAAGGTCTCTGCTCTCGTGAAACCTATGGGGGTAGGGTGGGAAGGAGTGTGAGAGAGGGGAGCGATACCATCTGATTTGTTTTAAGACCGTTTTAGCTGCAGTGTGGAGAACAGAATATGAGGGGTCAAGGAGTGAAAACAGACGAATTTTTAAAAAAGCCTTCGAGTCCAGAAGAAGTATGACTGTAGTCTGAACTAGGCCTAAGATAGCAGTGGAAGAGGTAGAAAATGACTGATATGTTTTGGAGATAGACTGGGCAAGGCCGTGATAAAAGAACTGGATGCAGGGAAAAGGAAAGAGAGGAACCCAGAAAGACTTTTAAGTTTTGGCTTCAAATGGGAAAAACTAAGGAAATCGTTGGAATGACCGTTACTCGACCCCACCTCCCTAAGAACATATGCGGCCAGAGCAGGAAAGCGATAGGTCTATCTAACCCACTGGGAGGTTCCGAGTTCTGGTAGTTTCCTAGGGTCCTAAAAAAGCAGCGCGGGAGAGCAGATTCTAACCCCAACCAGTTGAACCGTCCCATGCTTCTCAGGAAGCCAGCCCCTCACAGACTGCCACGGCAGAGAGCGAACTCGGCCACGACGACCGACCCACTGGACAGATTCCTGAGCTGGGGAAAAACCCGACCCCAGCCACACCTTGCAGGAGAATCCTGCTCAGAAATCAGGAGATTTCCTCTGCTCTGAGAGCCCCCATTTTGCCCGGTCTTAAAAGTAAAAGTACCTCACCTAACACACTCCTCAGTCGCAAAGCCTCCGGAATCCCAACGCCGCCTCCCGGATTCAAAAGGGCGGGTCCCGCCCCGCGCATGCGCTTTCTGCAGAGACCCAGGCTGCAGTAGGCAGAGCAGCGCGCTTTGCTGAAGCCTGATTGGTTGGGTTGCACCTCAACGGCGCGAGGAGGCACGCGCGCCGACGCTGACGCAGACCCAATCCCGAGAACCACTTGCCCCGCCCGCCCCGGGTAGGGGACCCGCGCCTTGTGGGCCGTTGCTGCTGGAGCTAGCTGATTGGCTGCCGTTCCCACTGTCCTGATAATGTTCGCATTCGTCATTTTGCGTAAAACTCGAAAATTAGTGTCCTGATTCCTGAATTTAACAAGAGTAATTATAGTGATAATTTTGCCCAGATTGACCCGCAAGTGTCGGGACTTTGAATCTATAGGGAAAATATGAACCTTGCTGGACAAGAGACTTAGGTTATTGAGTCTATGACTTCTGAAGCTGTCGCTTTTCCCAGGCGAAGCTCTGGGATGGGAGGAAAGGACGGCTGCATCTGCCCTCCTCCTTTTACCGAGGGTGGGCATTCACATCTTCCAGGGTTTGCCAAAAACCTGGATCCTAAGCTAGATGTGGCACCTTGCATGTAACCCGCCAGGCAACACGTACAGATTTCTAACTTTGGTGAGTCTTAAAGAAACTGGCTGAAACAGCAGCAAGGGTTTAGTTTGAGACCTGAGCCTAGTCCCTAGTTTAATCTCTTACTAGAGTAGGAATTAAAGAGGAAAGGTAAATTAAATGGCTCTCACTGTGTTTTTGAGGCCAAAACATATCCACAAACTGGGCAAAACTGTAGGAGGGAACTGCAATCTTAGGGAGAAATGAAGAATCAAAGATTAAGTTGATATATTTGGGAAAGACTACACCAGAAATTACTATTTACCACATCTTATATGATTTTCAGTACTTTCACAAACTCTTGTTTAATCATGCATGAGAATTGAGTGATATTTTATCTAGTACATAAACTGCTCTTATCTAGGAAAACTGAAAGTTTCTCGAGTCATTTTTCATACTCTTAATGATTTCATAGACTCAACTGTGAATTGGAATGGATTTTAAACCTTCAATCCCCTTCTCTTTTGTAGATGATGAAACTGAGGCTCTGAGTGCTGAAATAACTTGCCTAACATGACAAGTCTGTGGCACTGGAACGTGTGCCACTTTATGGATACACATAGTGAGAGAGCATTGGTTCTCCTTTGTTTCATACACCTGCAATTTTCTCTGAACTCATTCTTCCACCTTCCCTTGGCATCACCTAGTGAAGCAGAACTTCCCAAACCTGAAAGTTGTATTGATCCTAATTCTCTGGCTTTCTGTCTTATGTGCTGATGTTACCGAAGTGTGGTAACCTCGTTAGTATACTAAGTGATTATATTGTTCCTTTTCTTTCTTCTCCCTCATCCAGAATCAAAAATTAAAGAGCCAGAATTGCTTCATATGACCCTTTCTTCCCAGATTTTCATTATCTGTCCAGACAGTTTCCTCCAAATTTCAAAAATTTTTATTTTGAAAGAATGAGAGAAATAAGACAGAGGTATCAATTAACAAGAACAATGACACTGAAGAAAATACAATAATTTGTACTCCCCCCCCACACAATGCCCCCACCCCTCTCCCCATCCCTGGCACAATAATATTAAAACCATCAAAGCACATCTAACAAGGAGAAACAGCAGTATGGAATGAAGAAAGCAAAGTTCATACTGCTCAATCCAACCAATCCATATCAAATGTCCTTCCCCCTGCTGAACTCCAGCCACCATAATGATAAAGAGGTGTAGAGGAGACAACCAGAGGAGTAACTTGGATCTCTGCTTACACTAGCAAAGTTCAGTGAAGAGTCAATAGGAGTAATGAACCTGTCTGGCAGGGAAACCCTGGATACAGCTCCTCTGTCAAGTCTCAGATGATTGAAGAGAACAGCTAGAGTTTGAGATTCACAGACTTCTAACGGGACTAATCCCTGCTCCCTCAACCCAACAGTAGAGCAGCTGCCGAATCCTGGTTGGGATTCTCTGCTGAGAATAGTAGGAAGTGAGGCAGCTTTTGGCTTAAGAACCACCCCCAAAAAAGAGATGTCTGGTAACAAGTTTACTGCTTCAATTTCAAACTGTGAGCAAAGGAGCTTAGTAGGTTGGTTTGGGGCAAAGGCAAGGTAAAATTCCAATTTTATCACTTGAAGAATTAGATTATGTGTTGACTGCATATATCCCTTATTTTAATTAAACTCAATATGGAGTATTTAAAATTTCAACAACTGTTACAGTGGAGGCTAATCAGTATAACTCAATGTCTCAAATTGAAGGAACTTTCTTCTAAAGTGGTAAATTTAAGTTTTCAACTTAATTTCCCTCATCCCACAGGAATACATCACTTGATTTATACCAGAAGTAAGTAGGATTCTCTTTAGAGGAGGTTTATTTTATTCTGCCCTCACTAGAATCAGTCTATAAAGGGAAGGATACCTCTGCAGGATTAGTTCAAGATCAGAGCCTTCTCCTCGCACCTGCGTGCGTGCACACACACACACACACACAAACACACACACACGGACAGTAAATACATTTTCCCACACATAATCTTATAGTCACATGCTTGCTGGAGTCCATCTCACAAATACACTTCAACAGTTAGCCGTATACATGTACATGCAGCAAGATGTGAGAGTTGCCCCAAAGTGATTAAAGGTGGTGCACATATGTCTATGTGGGGAGGTCATTTTAGGGTATAGGTGTACACAAGCCAATAGGACCATTAACTTGCAGATTATATTTTTTCCCTTTCCTTCAAGATAAATAAATCAAATGAAAAACACACACTGACATCTTCCTGGGTGTCATGGAGGCAACTGCCTGGAAGGTTCACTTTTTGCACTTCTGCTTTCCTATGACAACTTCATTTTGCCCTGAGGGGCCTTCTCATATAAAGAGGGCTGCTCCTCCGCGTTCCCGGCATTCCCTGCTTGCCCTGGTGGTGGCAAGGGCTTCTTCTCAGAAGACCGGTCTTCAGGCTTGCGGGCAATCAGCAGGCGGCAGGTGAGCAGGATTCCAAACACCAGAGCATGGGCGTAGCGTTTGAGAGGATCACCGACTAGTTGATGGAAGAAGAGCACAGCCAACACCAGCAAGAGTAGGAAGAAGTTGGCCACATCTTTGGGACGCCCAGGCACAAGGGTCATGACAATGCCACAGGCCACCTCAAGAGCACCAATGCTTTTGCGGAGGAGAATGGAATTGATCCCCATTTTCTTCAGCAGAGGGAGGGCTCGGACATAGCTCTTGTAAGCACGTTTCTAGAGTGAAATACCACAAGGAATGCCACATTAACCATGATTTTAAAATTAGAATGAAGAACACAGAAGCAAGGGCCTCCTTCCCCACCATTTCCTTTCCATGTCCCCATCAGGTCCCTTTTTTTTTTTTTTTTTTACTGTGGCCCCTAAATAAAAGCCTTGTAATTAAGATAAGAAAAAAACGAGCAATCTTCTGAGGTCCCTGTGATTTAAACCTTAGTAACAACAGGGTGCCTGGTGGCTCAGTTTGTTGAGGGTCTGACACGTGATTTCAGCTCAGGTCATGCATGACTATGGGGCTGGGCTCTGCATTCAGCATGGAGTCTGCTTGTCCCTCTCCCTCTGCTCCTCCCCCCTCTACTTGTGCTCTCTTTCTCTCTCTAAAATAAATAGGTAAAATCTTTAAAAATAAATAAGACTTAGTAACAGCACCAAAGAGAATTTGGCTTTATAGTTAAAAATTATTTTCTGATTATAAATCATAAACAACACTAAAAGCATTTATAAGAAAATTTATTGGGCCCATAAAGTCTGGTACAGATTAGCCACAACCACATTTTCTAGTGCCTGCCTCGTCCAAACCCAGATGCATACAAATACCAACAAAAATGAAACAAGGCAAGGCACAGTATGATAAAGCCTCACTAATTCGGACTTCCTTAATTTGGAATCTGTGATAATTCAGAAAAAAGCTGAGCAGGAGTTTATATTTGTGGAATCTGCAAAAATTAAAAGTGAGTACTAAGTAAATAGAAAAATAAAAATGTGTGCAAATGTTAGCCCCTTATATATCTTTAAAATATAGTAAGATAAAAATCATTCTCATGGTCAGTGAAATAAAGTCCCAGGCCTTTACAAGACACTATTTTGATTAGCCTGGTGCAAGTTCACTAATTTTAATTCAACAAATATGTATTGAGCACCTACTATGGATTATGCAATGGAGATAAAAAGGTAAATAAGACAGGGTCAAGAAGCTCTTGATCCAGTGGGGGGAAACAGATACACAAAACACCAGTATAAAGCAACATGGTTAGTGACACATAATAGACGTCTGTACAAGGTCTAATTGTAGCCCAAAGGGAGACATCATAGAACAGAGGAGGGAGTCACTGGATATATTACAAAGTAATAAGATTATATTGACCTTAGGGTAATAGATAATCATATTTTTCACTGTATTCAGATTGGCCTGTAGTAAATCGATGAGATTTTATCAAGTGTCTTATTATGTTGGCCCACTGCTTTGTTTTCAGTAAGTACCCATTAATTCATTCAATATTTATTAAGTGCTTCCTTGCGCTAGGCACTCTACTAGGTACTTTGGATACAGATGTCAATCATTCAAAGGCCTTGCCTTCCTGAAGCTTGAGTTTATATGAAGAAAAGTTATGGGTGCTGAACAAAATTATGCAGTAGATATAGTGGAGCCACACCAGAGTGGTCAAGTTTCCCTAGACGGAAACGGAGAAAAGCTAGAGTGGAATATTAAAGGAAGACCAGGTGTTTGCAAGATCAATAAGGGAAGGGCATTGCAGGCAGAGGAAACTGGATAAGCAAAGGCCCTGAAGCACAAAACAGACTTGGGTGTTTCAAACACCACCCCAGTTCAGCATAGGTTGGGAGAGGGAGGGGTGACAGTGAGACATGAGACAGGGGAGATAGATATGAATCATGAATCATGAGAACTATATATGTCCTCTTATATATGTCTATATATGTGTCACTATGAGATCATGGGGAACTATATATGTTGTGTTGTGGAGGTGGATTTTATCCTATAAGCCAGGGGGAGCAACATAATTTGCTTTTGAGGAAGGTCCCTCTGGAAAAAGTGTGGAGGATGGATTGGGAGAGGTATGCCTGGAAGCAAGGAGACCAAGTAAGAGACCTAGAGTAATGACAGTAGGGATATAGGGAAGGGGAATGAGTCAAGGATACCTTTAATGCAAAATCAACAGAATTTAGTGTTATACTGGAAGTGGAACCTGAGGGAAAGGGATAAGTAAAGAAAGATTCTCTGGTCTCTGGCTTGGGTACCTGGGTAGAAGGGTGTTACCATTCTCCAGGTTTGGGCATGCATCTGAAAGAACAGGTTGGGGATGGGGCAAGGGGTAAGAAGGAGTAAGGGACTCAATTTGGGTTTTTTAGTTGAAGTGTCTCTAAGACATCTAAGTGGAGATGTCTGGTAGGCAGCTCAGTAAGAGAGGTCTGGAATAAAGATATAGAATGGATAGTCATCAGTATCCCAGGTAGAATGTATATATACAGTGGGAAAAATTGTGTGACAGACATTTAAGAAATGGAAAGAGAAAGATAGTCCACAAAGTAGACAGAAGAGAGTGTGGTCAGAAAAGTAGGGGGAAAACCAAGAGAGACAAGGTCATGGGGCCCAAGGTTTTCAAGAAGAGAATAGTCAAAAGCTCCAGATGCGAGGCAAGTATCATAAGAATCAGACAGAAAGCCAACTTGACCTCTTAGAAGCATCTGGCACTTAGAATAGTGTTCACGGGCACCTGGGTGGCTCAGTTGGTTAAGTGACTGCCTTCGGCTCAGGTCATGATCCTGGAGTCCCTGGATCGAGTCCTGCATCGGGCTCCCTGCTCAGCAGGGAGTCTGCTTCTCCCTCTGACCCTCCTCCCTCTCATGCTCTCTGTCTCTCATTCTCTCTCTCTCAAATAAATAAATAAAATCTTTAAAAAAAAAATAGTGTTCACACACTCTAGGTTTGGAACAAATGCGAAGTCATTTCTCTCACTTTTGGATAAGTGAATGCACCTTATTTCATGGATTAATTATCATGAGTGGCACAAGATAATCCTCTATGAGGACTGTTAAAAGACCAATGGTTTAGGGCACGTGGGTGGCTCAGTTGGTTAAGCAACTGCCTTCGGCTCAGGTCATGATCCTGGAGTCCCGGGATCAAGTCCTGCATCGGACTCCCTGCTCAGCAGGGAGTCTGCTTCTCCCTCTGATCCTCCCCCTCTCATGCTCTCTGTCTCCCATTCTCTCTCTCAGATAAAAAAAAAAAAAAAAAGACCAATGGTTTAGTGAAAAAAACAAACAAACAAACATGGGTTTTGATTCAAACAGACTTGGCTTTAAATCCCATCTCTGTCACTTTCTAGTTGGGTGTCCATAGGCAAATTATTTGACCTCTCTGAGCGTCATTTTCCTGAGCAGGGTTAAGACTAAAGTGAAATGAGCCAGGCTATTTGCCTTGAATGCAAAATTTAAGAGGGCACCAAAAACATTTCTTGATTAAGGTAGATAATATCATTAATGAGCAAAATATCAAAGCTTTTACATAAATGCAAGATCCAGCTCTGCACTTATACAACCCTGCCTTATCTCTTCCCAATCCTGGCCCTATCAGATCCTGTCTTGAAAATTTCACCTCACCCTAGTCCCTATCCTGTTCCTGAGCATGTAAAGGAACACGGAGTGTTAGTCTTTCTTCCTCCCTCTTCCCATTTTAGGTTAAATCAGGGACTTTCAGAGAAATTAGTAGGGACGTTGACTAGTCGGCAGAGTAAAACTCTGGGCTGAACTGAGCCAGACCCACATGGAGCAGAGCAGAGATGAGGGTTAGGGCACCTGGTGGTGGGGAAAAGTGTACCCGTTCCTCTCACTATTAAACTAGATGCCACCTGCCCACTCTCTCCCCCTCTGCACTCTGGTAACAGTAACGGGGCAACATTAGGGAAAGAAATCTAGACACAAGAGGCTTCCTTAACACTTGTAAGTGAGGACTATTTCTAATTAACAGCACAAAGCTTCCCAAGAGCCAGTTCCTAAACCCTAAATGTAAGCTTTTGACATGATGAACGCAGGAGGCAAGATGAGTTTCCCACAGTCAGTTCAGAGCCAAGACTTCAGATGCTGGCTGAGTGGCTTCTGGAAACGCTCCTTTTTTGGCTAAGGCTAACCACCCATCATTCAGGAATAGATTCTTAACTATACTACAGTGGAATCTGTAGCCTGGGGCCAAATTCCACGTCTTTAAATCAAGTTCCTAGAACTTGGGTGATTTTTTTTCTTTACATTTGGTGTAACTTCATATTACTTTTTCAGTTGTTTATCTAACTGCTTAAACTACAGCTGTGGCTCTTTTATGCAGCTGTTGCCTCTTTTTTTCCCCTTTCCTTTCTCCAGAGGAAACTGCACATGGATAAGCCATCTCATCAAATCTTTAGTTCAAAGCTGACTAGGTATAGATAGCATCTATTCTCCAGGACTCCAGACAGGGAATGTTTAATTTGTTAGAAATGGGACTAAGCTTGGATGGAGTCTTGACATTATAGGAAGCCCTTTATTCTTTCTCCTGTGGAGTAGGATGGAGACATCAGAAGAATCCTACTATTGCCAGCCGCATCAATGTTTGGTCTGGGCCACCTCAGTTCTAACAATAGAAGGTTCACATGTCTTGAATCTATAGTAACTAGAGCTCTAAAGACTTTAATTGTTCTGATAGTAAGAATAAAGAGAGTTGACTGAGTCACTCTCCCAAAAGGCTCTCACAATTCACTTTGTTGGGTCTGTTTCCCTTCCATTGCAATGACCCAGACCCTGTAACCTTAGTTTCTTTATAGGGCAGGGAAGCAGGGAAGAGGAGTCTTCAGTCAAATGTTTCAAATCCCTTTAATCGAAAGCAATCATCCAACAATATCCTTGGGCTGAGATTCCTAAGATAAGCTAAATTTCAATTTTAGTTTTGCCCCTAAGTTGCTTGGAGAAAATTACTAAGCATTTTATTATCTGGGTTTCCCCTTTTTGTAAATTAAATGAACATTTGGAGATTTAGTTAAAAAAAAACAAAAAACATAGCATCATGGCATCAAACAAGGGCCACACACACACACGCACACACACACACACACACACACACTTCATTATTAATGAACCATACAATAATGAGAAGTCCATGTGTTTGCAAGCAAGCCACGGTGATTATTTTAATGATAATAGTGGTGAATCAAACAGGTCCTTTCTTATGGTGTGAGAAGATATGATTCAGACATGAGTCAAAAGCATATGGAGCCTTTCTTTAGTCATACCTTTTTTCTTTTTGTCATTTACTCTTCACAACACCCCAGGGTCCATGATCTCATATTAATGACATTTATTTGAAGAACTCAAAACTGTCTAATTACACTTATCTTCAATTACAATTAATAACTGATCCAAGTCAGCTAACAGGACAAAATGGGAACAGAGACCAAGTGGTTTGGTCCACTTCAGTATACTTATGCCAGTTGGGTAAAAGAAAAAAAAAGGCTAATCTACTGTGAATTCCATTTATATAAAGTTCAAAAACAGGTAAAACTAACCTATATTGTTGGAAGTCAGAAAATAATAACTCTTGGGGAGGTAGTAACTGGAAGGGGCCATGAGGGCGGTTTCTGGGGAGCTGATGTTCTGTGTTCTCGATATGGGTGCTGGTTACACAGAAGTATTCTGAAAATTCCTTGAACTGTACATTTATGTTAGATGCACATTTCAGAATGTATGTCACACTTCACTAAAATTTACAGAGAGAAAAAAAACTATGAAAGCGAAAGAGGGCACTGACAAAAATACATTTTGGCTAAAATTCTCAGCCTCATTGCTATCTTAGACCATAAAGGCTACATAACTGCTGCAAAGTTTACTGACTCCAGTATGATTTCCCTGCATTTTTGTAGGGGAAAAAGCCACATGTGAGTTATCGATTATTTCTTAAATGCAATAAAAAGCCATCACGTGTTTAATTGCCAAATATCCATGTGAATGATAAACACATTTTAAGCAATTCTACTTCCCACTGTCATATAGTACCTACCTACAGGGGAAGCTGGTAAACCTGGTCCTACTAACCAAACTGGATCCTTCCCAGATTGCATTTGAGGCCCAAAGGTAGCTCTGTAACAAGCATAGCTGTTGGCCATTGAGACCTTAAAGGCTCCAATGCCCTGGCATCAGCTCCAGTGGAGTTTAGCTTGGGATGGTTGGCTGTATGAACTAAGGCAAAGTCACTTCACAACTCAGAGGCAGTTTCCTCTCTGAGGGAATAAAAGTACTGTACCCCCTCAGAGAGCAGTCTAAGCATCAGTGAATCACTATCTTATCACCTAGCTGGAAAGCAATTAATGGCGGTGATTGGAAGCATAAAAGATTACCTAAGGACGTTAAATACACTGCCCAAACGTATCTGGAGTGTTTCCCCAGGGTTATACAAACTGGACGGCATTTAACTATAGATAAGCCAATCAACCAAATCAACAAAGCTTCCCTCTGAGGGGATGCGAAGAAGCAGAGACTTGCCCTGTTTTCCTTGGGGCCAAAATCCCTTGGCTTCATTGCGACAGGATTTTTGGGTATTTTCTCACCATTCTACATGTGGCCCCTTTTGATTACAGAACGGAACCACTGCTACAAAGAGCTGGATAGCAAATTTAGAGCAAGTCAACCTTTTGTATGTTCCCCATCACTGCACAGAAAACTGCTTAGCAGCATTTGTAAGTGCTGTCTCCCAATTTCAAGTGAATTAATGAAGGCATTTAGTCAAGGGAGTGATCAGTCATGTTGAATTCATGTGGGCTTTAGAGTACTCTATAATGACACTTGCTAAATCTGGAGGAGGTATGGGGCGACACACACCAAATGGGCAATTCAGAGTGACATCTGGAAGTTCTGCATGGAATCCACTGTGCATTAACCGGCAGCAAGTGTGGAGTTTTCAAAATTAGTAATTGCATAAAGGTCTGTTCACCAGGGCACATGAAAATAGCATCTTGCTCTTCTAAATGCCTGATTTCTTTTTTTTTTTTTAAGATTTAATTTATTTATTTGACAGAGAGAGACACAGCGAGAGAGGGAACA